GTTCCGACTGTGCCCCCCACGCAGTAAATAATACCAAAAAAGAAATCTAGAATAGAGAGGATAAACGACATTAAAACTAAACAATAAAGGAGCAAACGACAATTTTTTAAAACGCTGACCAAATTACAAATCGACAAGATAATTGAGTACGACAACAAAGTAGGAAATACAACCAAAAGGCTACTATAACAAAAACGAAAAACAAATAAACCAAAGGAAACGACAACGAAAGATAAACGACTCCAAAAATTAATTTTCTTATTAACCAACAAAAAAGAATAACTTTCTTCTTGAACTACTTACATTCTTTATTAAAATTGAGAAAATAAACTATCGATAATTTTTTTTTTTATTTTAGTCTTAGATGTGTATTAAAAATTATATATTCTGTATACTTTTTAACTTGATGTGATTTATAGTCACAAATTAACTCTACCAATAGAAATTAAGAAGGCCCTACCGAAAAAAGCCTTACGATGAAAAGAACAGTGTTACAAAGTTATCATTAAGCTACATTTAACTACAGATTGAAAAAAAAAAAAAAGTTTCTATAGGCAATGTCATAAAACCGATGCTCAATTACGAATCTAGCATAGCTCATTAATTTCCAATGGTCCGAAAGAGCATATCACTTTTCCATGTATCTTACGATAAGTAGAACATTTACTTTTTTATATTCTCTGAATGATGAATTTTTCCAATAACAAACGGCAACATTTTCGTCAGATAAAGCAAGAAATTCCTCTCTGTTCATCATCATCATAGAAAGATCAGCAAATCATGTCAGTCGTTATAAACAAATCATGCCCGGAAATTGTTAGTTCTCCAAGATTAGTAACAGAACCGTTCCGAGCAGCCCTGAACGGGGATTGGGAAGGCATGAAGAGGTTCTACGAGAAGAACAGAGAAGCTGCGGCTCTGCCTCTCACTCTCACCAACGATACCCCTCTCTACATTGCCATCTACAGCGGCGGCAAGAGTCCGCTCGAAGAGCTGCTCCAGATTGTCCCGAACGACCACTTCGCGAGGCCGAACGACAAACTCAACACCCCTTTTCATGAGGCTGGAGTAATTGGCAACATGGAAGCGGCTCAAGTCCTCTTGCGCTGCTCCACGGCGCAACTCGACATGCGAAACATCCTCGGCGAAACTCCAATGTTCAGGGCCGCGGCGTTCGTTGTGACGAAGATGGTGCAGTATTTGGCTGCAGAAGTTCGGAGGGTTCAAGGTGATATGCATGTTCAGCGGCTCAGATATGATGAGGCGTCCATTCTCCATATAGCCATCTATGGCCAACACTTTGATCCTTCTCTCTAATTCTCTTTTGGACCCTTTGGTTCATAGATTGAACCCTAATCTAAACCTTTTCGTTTTAGTCCCAGTGCGATAAAAAATTTGAACTCGAGTATTTTCTCTCGTAAAAATGAACCAAACAATAGTTTTATCTTTTGAATAGTACAAATTAAACTATGTGTTTGTTTTATAAATTCAAACTATTATTCAAACATTTTTTTTTACAATGTTTTCTCTTACAAAATTAAATTTATGTTCAAATTTTTCTGTGTAAATCTATGAACCAAACCGTGTCAAATGTATTGATAATTATTCTTTGACGTGTCTTTGCTTGCTAATTGACTTAGCTTTTTGATGAAATGCACTGCAGAAACAGCATTGTGGTTACTAAGGAATGATGAAATACTTGGACAAATAAAGGACATAAATGGATGGACATGTCTTCATTTGCTTGCCAACATGCCTTCTGCTTTCAAGACTGGTTATCTTATGGGAAAATTAACTGCTCTCGTCTACTTTTGTAATAAGAAATTTCGAAACTTTCACCAATAAAAGCATATATTCTCTTCTTGTTTTTCCTATAATTCAAGATCATTTTATAGTGTTACTTTTTCATAATTTCAGGTCTACCAAGTGAAGAAAAGAATGATGATGAAGCCCAAGTACCCTTAAATAATGAAAGCGACAATTTGGAGTGCGGCCAAATTGGAAGTAATTTATCCCTTTACCAGTCTCGCTACTCATCAAACTTTCATAAAAGGTAACAGAAGCGTCTATCTCCACTTTTCTCAACCATTAAAATTTTATAAAATTAAGGATCCGTTTAGTTCGTTGATTCAAGTTTTTAATTTGAATTGAGATGTGACTTTATGTGAGAGTTTTTTACTGTAGTAAAAAAGTTAAATGTAACTAATTCTAAAAGTTTTTTACTGTAACAAAATTCTAATTCTAAATTCGAATCCATAAAATGAACGGGGTTTAAAAATAGTCATTTGTTACACAAACTACAGCAATCTCAAGGATGTGCGTTACTTTCTGTAAGTGCATAGTTCAAGGTTTGTCTGTCCCCCATTTTTCTTTTGCATTTCGTTGGAGAAGTACTAATTAGTACACATATATATACAAAAATAGTTGAAAAATATTAAATACACTCTTTTACGGATATTAATTTAATCTCTTGACACGTGTTATATTAACTTTTTTAAATAAATCCACTTAATAACAAGTCATTATTTTCATGCATATTTACAAGAGTGTCATCTTTGGCTTTTAACTTCTACTCCGCGTTCACATGCACTCTCACCTCATTTTTATCCCCAAATTTGCTTACATATTCCAGTCCAAAAAAACAAAAAAACAAAAAAACAAAAAACCGTCGCTTTGCTTATTTCAGCAAAGAAAAAAAAATCCTTTACTCAAAACACACATATGTTGCTTGCTTTTTTTTTTTTTTTGGCTAAGAACACATATTGCTTACTTAAGGAATGATCTATGTATGTCAAAATAAGGATATTTTCCAAGTATTTATATTTTGCTTAGTGGGTTCGTGTAGGAACAAATGTTGCTCATTTTTAGTTTAAATATTTTTATCTTTTTTTCTTTAAATATATTCTTTTGTTTTTTCTGTTGATAACTTTTTTTTTAAATTGCTGCCAATAGACTTTACGTATGAGATACACACACATATATAACTTTTCTTTTCTAGGTTGAAGTATTACCCAGAAAATATTACTAGTTTTTTTTTTTCATTTTCTTTTGTCATTGTTGGTCTCTGGTTATGAACTGACTTGATGTATTTTTCCTCAGTGGATTCTTTTTTTTTTTCACCTAATATATCTCAGTTTTGTTAAAAAAAAAAATGTGTGTCGATAAATAACTCTCAATTAGTAGTCGATAAATAATATTGCACTAATTAGTTTCAATTAGTATTCTCAGTACTATAGTATTTGATAAGTTCCGAAAAAAAAGTATCACAGTAATTAGTTTCAATTAGATATCTCAGTATAATAGTATTTGATAAGTTCCCAAGAAAAAAAGTATCACAGGTATTTATTTCCAATGAGAAGGGAGTTGACTTCCTTTTTTTTTTTTTTTTTTTTTGGGTTCATATACGAAATTTAGAGACAAGAGTCACAAGGCATTATGGTCTTTTGCAAATATATATTCCTATCGTTGTCTAGTACGTAAGAATATTAATTTTTGACGTTTTCCTTTTGACTTTTTTCTTTTGGGAGAATAGTACTGCGTACTAGTTGTACATTATATACTCACACGTTGCATACAGTTGGAAAAAAAAGAAAAAAACATTTTCAATGTAGGGCTGTTCATAAACTTGAATAATCCACAAACTTAATCCATCCCGCTTCAACCTAAGCCGAAAAAATAATCTGCAGCATTATTTTTAAATTTGCGGCTCATTATACCTTTGGCCTGAAGTGTTTGGGGCGGATTGCGAGTTGGGCCCATAACAACCCGCAATCCCCAACCCAACCCGCACAACATACCTCCAACCAAGCTTTCGGCCCAAGCCGAACTGCCCAAGTTCTTCCTTAGGCTCGCTAACATTAGGGTTCACAATCTCATTCTCGGTCTCCCCTCCCGTGAACCCCCTCTTCTTGCCTCTTCCTTTTCAGTTTTCCC